AATGCTTACATAAATTAAAGAATAAGAACAACACATCATTTCTTCAATCCTACAATTTGGATATGCAATTTTCCCGAAGAAAGGTTCCATTAAAAAGTCCCCAAATTTCAGTTTCTTGCAAGGATTCTCAAGCATCCCCCTATCCCAATTAGGTAGTAATCTCAGAATATTTCACCTAAAAAACACAGGTCATAGTAAAGATATATCAAACAACCCAACAAAAAAATTAATGAGATCCCGTTGCCATGAAAAAATCGAACATTTTATGGCGCCATTTGGTTATATCCCTGTCGCAGTCCCTAACAATTTGTTCTCTCTCTCTCTCTCTCCGCTTAGCTCAAATGCGAACCACTGCTCCGGTTCGCGCAGGTTTCTATTGCTTCCAGAATCGGCTGATTTAGTTGGAAATTTGGGATTTTTAATTGAGTGAGAAGACGCAACGGGGGACTTTGAGGTTGTAGAAACAGACGCGAAAGTGGTGAGATTAAAGAAGAGCTTGACGTTGGGACCATCAAAGAAGAGATTCACATAAAAGTGGGTGCGGTGGTGGCCGGGAGAGAGGCTGCCGGCGAGATGCTTGTGGTGGCAGTGGGTTTTTCTGCTCAATATTTGATTTGGAAGAAGGTGTGCTTAATAGGGTTGTACTCAAATGCACAACCCGATAATGCAACATATTTTAAGGACAAAACAGTAAATGCACACATATACTAACGGTGTTAAGTTTTTGACAGTTGACTGAAAACAGCAAGGGCCGTTTCGTTACGTTTCGTAGTTGAAGGGGGTGTTTGTGACAACCCCTATAGTTCAGGGGTGCAAACTGTACTTTCCCCTTATTAAAATTAAAAACACGGTAAGTTAATGCCAAATTCCTCCCAAAATCATGTTACCGTAAAATCTTCCCAGAATTTTCCCCCCAGATCACGATAGAAATCCACTCCGGCATAGCCCATTGTCCCTCGTTTTCAGAATTCCCCTCCAAACAATTGATACTGTTCTTGATGAAAACTGAAATCAGAAGCGAAAATCGCTACTTCTTTTCCTAAGGAAGAAAAATTTCTTCTGACGACGATTTGACATCAGAAGCGATTTCCTGAACTCATCAGCCCCTCCTGCAAATTCTTGGCCTTTTTTTTAATTAATTTAGCACACTCTGCACTCAACAATTTCTTGCCGTTACCTGTTGATATGTTTACAATGTTTTGTTGTTCACTAACGACTACGGCCCCATCATATTCAACCAATGTTACAATCGATTGCACCGGTTGCTCTTGGATACGATCACCAAGATTGTAGTCCGCAATTTCCTGTTCATTTACCGTTATCTCCACACGAATAGCACCAATCTCAAGCATGATGAACAACAATGTCGAATCACCGTCGTTCGCAAGGATGCTCTTGGATACGATCGTTTGCACCGGTTGCTCTTGGATACGATCACCAAGATTGTAGTCCGCAATTTCCTGTTCATTTACCGTTATCTCCACACGAATAGCACCAATCTCAAGCATGATGAACAACAATGTCGAATCACCGTCGTTCGCAAGGATGCAGTCGTCGTACACGCCAAACTTATAAGTCAAAGTGAAGTTACGTCCATTGATCGCGTCCCACTTCGATCAAACATATTTTATCAGCGAATCAAAATTCACGCGATCAGACCATTGCGTTATTGCAACGATCCCTCGAAACCTCAACACAAATGTCACATTGGAATTCATGAAACTACACAAATAATAACATGGTAAATTACTTAAAAAAAAATCATGTTATTAACAAGGGAAAATAAAAGACATATTACCGCGGTTGTGAAAATACATTATAAATATGACATGTACAATAATAATAATTAAAACGGACATGTAACTTTGAAATTTGGCATTGTGTCAAAACCACTCTTAATTTGAAAGGATCGATCAACTATATACTAACAACCACATAACAATGGGGGAGAAAACTCATGTGCATTCATATTAACACTATTTCGAACAATGATAAAACCATGACTATTGCACTTACACAGTTTACGTAAAAATACGAAAATCACTCTGTATTTTGTTGAGACGAATTTCCTGCTCATGCAATTAGATCGATAGTAATGTGGAAAGAATACCGATTACGTTGAAACGGTTTCTCTATAATTAAGGGACGACAATCGTGGAATTATACGAGGAGGTGTTGTTACGATATAATAGAAAAGGGTTAATATGCTATGGGCCCTTCAAATAAAACACAATTTGAGCTAAATGACAAGTTTAAATCCATTTTTTTAATTAAATCCATAATTTGAAATAATATATGCTTCACATCCCTATAAAAAAATTAATCCCTATCTTACCCTTATACCCTAAATCTTATAAACTAATTATTTACGTTTCTCCGTCAGATCTATTCTTCTCTTCTTCTCTTCTTCTTCTGCTTCTCTTCTTCTTCTCTCTTTATCTCGTTTTCTCTGGCTCTATTTCAGTCAATTTCTCTCTCTCTCTCGCGCACCACTCGTGATTGAAGAAGGTGGTGGCTATGGCGACGACCATAGCGGTGGAGGCGGCGACATGGGAAAGGTAGTTATCAAGGTAAGTAAGCGACGACGATGGGATGAGCCGTTGTGGTTGGCGGCGCTCGGAGTTCGAGGGTGATGCTGGCCAGCGACGGTGCTCGGATTTCGAGTGTGATAGCGACGGTGTTGGTCGTCCGGTGTGTTGGTCGTCCGGTGATGTTGGGGGAAGGTGATGGCGTCGTGGGTGGGGTGGGTGGTATCCTTAGTGGCGTGGATGGGGGTGGGTGGTCGTTGGCGTCACGGATCTAGGGTTTGGTGGGTGGATCTAGGGTTTGGTGGGATGGATCTAAATTTTTTCGATTTGATGTCTATGGGTTACTATGGGTGTGTGGCGGCTAGGGTTAAAAGGAGATGCTAGGGTTTCAAGAATATGCTATCGGACATGTCTATGGATTACTACGGGTTACTATGGATTACTACAGTTTCCTATGGGTGTCTATACATGACTGAGAGCGATTTTTTTTTTAAATTCATAATTTTTAATATTACGTAGAAAAGAATGGAAAAAATAAATTCCTAAAATACTGAAAAAAATACGAAAAATGAATAATAAAATAAAAAAGAGTAATGTGTTATACGTAAAAAAAATGTTCGATGCAAAATGAAATGTTAAATGCATAATAAAAAATGATAAGCGCAGTATAAATATTACTTGATGCAAATTTCATATTTTGTGTGTGGAGGGCATTTTTGGGATGAAATTTATAAAGGATGTGAAGCAAATGTTTTATTAGACTTGTCATTTAGTTCTAATAAGTTTTGTCATCAGGGACCTATATCTTAAGCCCCCAATAGAAAAATATATTACAATTTTTTTTTATTTACAATCCTAATATAGGTTACTTTTAAGTTAGGGGTATAATTGTGCTAAATTATTATTTTTTATTAAATAAATGCTGAAATGGATTTATTTCAAAAATGTTAAAAAAATTGAACTCATCGTAATTACACCTCTGCTATTTTTTTTTTCTTTTTGTTTGACAAATAATCCCCTTAATTAAAGCACCACATCACATGCGAGACAAATGCACGTATTGGCCCCCTCCTCCGCCTTGTTGTCAAGGCCACAACCCAGAAACCCCTTTTAACCCTTCGGCCTTCCAGACTTTAAGCTTCCAGCATTAATCCCCTCCAATTCGATCTTCAACGATTAGTTTACAATTTCTCAGTTTGATTATCCGCCCGTTTCTCTTCTTCCGCGACACTCGATCAGGTTTTTCCTTCTCTTTTTTTCATTTATTATCAAATAGTTACCCCATTTTGCACTACATCATTGCTGTTCATGATTTTCACTTTTTTTTTTTCATTTTGGGTTTTGCTAATTGTCCGCTGATGTAGCCTGATTCTGTAAGAATTATCATTAATTGTATAATGAATTTTGAGGAAATGAAAATGAAAAAAAAAAAGGAAATCTCTGTTTTGGGTTGGGTCGGGTCACATGGTGTAGAAGAGAGAGAGAATGGGCATTGAAAGATTTGATCTTTTGGTGGTTCTTGTTTCTGATTCTATGAATTGAATTAAATTTCTTTCCTTTCTATTTTTGCAATTTTGCAGAGAGTTTAAGTGAAAAGAGGATAGTATCAGTGTTCCCTTTAGTTTAAGTCATCTGCTCTGTGAATAAAATCTCAAGCTTTCAAAATTTGATAAATTTGATGTTGTTTTCTTTCTATTAGTAAAACTTAGTTTGTCGTCTTTTACAACTGTTAAGTAGCGAGAAAAATCTATGCATCGTTAATTGATTGTAGCAAAATGGGATGCTGTTACGGATCGTTATACATCGTCATTACATGTTTTCAGTTCATGGTAATTAGAAAATGTTTACGGTGTGTTGGGTATATTTCCAAGCCCCAGTTGTTTCTTAGGACAGTTTTATGGGAAGATTTATACTATCTTATGGGGATACGATATTATTTGTGACAACTATTTCTTCTGGTTGAGAACTTAGTCGAGTGGTAGATATGTATGAAGACTTACATACAACATCAGTATAAAAGATATTGATTGTGTTCGTTACATTTTATCCTCGAGCATTCTTTAGCAATGAACACATAGAAGTTTGCGATGATAATAAATATAGGCCTCGTTTGGTTGGGGAGATTAACCATGATTAACTAAATACCTGGACTTTATTTGATGTTTGGTATCTTCAATAACTTGCTAGGTCGAGCCGAAAATATTACGTTATCATGGTTTATCTTGCCTTCTAGACATGTGTTTTTATTGGATTTTCCAAGGTCCAACAATACAATTGGGTTGGGTTTCATTAGATTATTTAATCTTATCTTGGCAACCAAACAAGGCCAATGGGTACATTATTATTGTTGTCTACATCATAATACATAATCCGTTCTGTACTGAAAGTCTACATCTTCCAGCCAAATATTTAACCTTTTTATCACTCTGCCATACTCTTATATTTGCTAATTAATTTATTTTTTCTTTTTAGATCATTGAATAAAATGAATCCCAACACTTCTAGTTGTGAAAATACGATGCAAACGAGAAGTCTGATCTTCAGTTCTGTTCATCAGTCAGAGGGTCAAATATAATAACATAATTGTATCTCTATCGGGAAAAATTTCTCGGGATTTCCTAAGCCTAAGCAATTGTATTTTTCAGACAAGAAGTTGTGTAGTGTCGGTTTTGGAATTCGTAATACCACTTATGTATACGTCTATACGTTGATTCAATGCGATGATATTTCAGTCTCTAAAGAGGCAACTTTTATGGATACAGTATGTTTGTCGGTTCTTATAATTCTGTTAGTTACACCATTAAATTGTAAGTTTTTAACCGTTTGCAGATAGATTGAAAAATACCGCGTACGGTCAAATGAGTAGTGTTTCAACATCGAATGGCGCACGATCAGCTTTCTCATATTGCGTCCAGCAAGTACGAAACTACGACTACCACCACTACCTATGCCTCCTCGAACTCCCACAAAACATGCGAAAATCCGCTTTCGCAATCCGAGCATTCAACGTCGAAACGTCAAGAGCAATGGACGTTGCTTCCGATCCAAGAATCGGTCTAATGCGGCTCCTTTGGTGGCAAGAATCCATCGACAAAATCTTCTCCAACAAGTTAATCGAACACCCAGTCGCTCAAGCTCTCTCTTCCATAATATCCGAGCACAAGGTCAGTAAAATCTGGCTAAAAAGATCCGTCGAAGCTCGAATAAAAGACGCCCAAAGAGAAGTCACCGATATTCAAGAAACTGTGGAGGATTTGGAGCGTTACGCAGAGGACACGGTATCCACCATTTTGTACTCGACACTTCAATCAGGTGGTATAAGTTCCACCGTAGCGGATCACGCAGCCTCGCACATCGGCAAAGCGAGCGGGCTTTTGTTGCTGCTTAAGTCCCTGCCTTACCATGCAAATAGGAACTCGTCTTTGCCTTACATACCTCTAAAGGTGGCGGAAAAACACGGGCTTTTGGTGAATGAGGGTGGGAAGTATGGAATACGTGTTGATTCTCGTGAGGGTTTGTGCAATGCTGTTTTCGAGATTGCGTCTGTTGCGAACGCGCATTTGAAGAAGGCCCGTGAGTTGAAAGTGCCTGCTGAGGCACGTGCGGTGCTGCTGCCAGCTGTCGCTGCGCAGGTTACGCTGGACACGTTGAGCCGTGTGCAGTTTGACGTGTTTGATTCGAGGTTGACGAGGGGTATTTTGGGGATTCCGCCTTTGTGGTTTCAGTTGAAGCTCAAGTGGTGTTCTTGGAGAGGGAAATACTGAGAGTTGTTATGCAATGACACTAATATTGGCGAGCACCGGTTTGGTTTGCTTGTGTTGAATAAAATGTTTCTTTTAGGGTTAAAATATCGAAGTCGAGATCGAGCGGCTTAATCTTTACTTGAGGCAAATAGATAAATAGCAAATGAAACCCTTGAAGATTCGTTCATATGTTCTGCTCCTCTCAGCATCTTCGAACTAAATTCACAGGTTCTTCTTATGCTCTTTATATAACAAAGATCGTCTATCGAATATTTACAAACACCAATTTTTGTTATTTTATTTTATCTATTTATTTTTTTATTTTTTTTCACACCAAAGACTTGTCCTCTTAAAATCACTATTTTTAGAAGTTAACCTCGCGATATTATTCTCAATCGATCTGTGTTACTGAAAATCCGTCTTTTTCGTTTGTGTCTTTGTGAAAACGTTTGTATTTGTGTCTATATGAAAAACATGTGTATTTTTATGAAATTTGTGTTTTTTTTTATTTTTTTCTTTTCGATAAATTAAACATTGCATTAATAAACCGAAACAAACGGAGGAAAAACCCCCTTCACAAAAACAAGAACCATGAATAAGATTAGCATCAACATTTCCACTCCATTTGCACGAAAAAGGACAAATTGGCAACGGCGATGAGCAGTGAAATTCACATTTCTAGGGCACAATTTGAACCTCCATTTTGGCCATAGGAATCAAAACTTTCGGATCACCCCAATTAGAAATTTTGCAGACCAATGGATTGTGAAGTACTGATCCGTAACGAAAAGAATCGCATTGTGGCAATTCGCTTCAAAAATAACATTCTCAAGCTGGACCTTCATGATGAATTAACAAGCTTCCAAAACTGCACAAGCTTCAGCAACAAGAGGGTCCAAACATATGTGATCATTAGCATGGGCGTAAATGATTTAGCCGAGATTTGGCGATTCCTATGAGCAAGGGCACACGTACACGAGCTAGCCCTGAGAGTAAACATGAAGTAGAAGAACCATGAGTAATGAGGTTATGATTACACCAAACAAGCTCAAAGAAAACAGCGGCATGCATAAGAAATTCCTCTCGCAACGCCGCAGAAGGAAGAAAACCTCCATTTCATTTCAATAAAAGAAAAATCAAGTTAAGAAGAGGTTCATTTATAAAAGGAATCACGGCGAGACATCATTTAGCAATGAACTAGAACTGAGAAATGAATGAAAGAGCATTTTAGAAAGATATAAAAATCTTCATAATTTCTTTAACCAGAAAAATTCGAAAAAGCTCAAGTAGGAGACTAGTATTGCAAGAATTGGTGTTTTGAGTCATGAGGTTCTTGACAAGCAGGGGCGGAACCAGGAAATTATAGTTGGGGAGGCTGAAAACAATAAATATCTAATAATACGAGAAAATAAAATAAAATAGTATTTAAACTCTATATGATAAATAATAAAATAAAATTATCATCTATTTTGTCCACGAAAAGTTCTACACAATTAGAATTTTTTTTTTAACTAAAATGAACTCTACGATCTTTCATTGTGTAGATATATCCTCTATGATTGAATCCGTGCTAAAAATATTAGGAATATCCCTCTCTATATGTAGGAGCATGTAATCTCCAAGAAATTCATCTTCCAAGAAACTTCAAATGGAGTCTTTCTCGTTCAGTGAAATCCTCAGGATAATATTTTTTAACAAGAGTGCAAATATTATCTGCATTAAACGACTTTTATGAATTACTAGGATCTAAAGCGAAACTAAGAGTCAACAGTTCCATTGTTTGATCACAAAATCTGTTGTTCAAATCTTTCAACTGAGTGTTTATTATGGTATTGAAGATATCAAAATGAAAATGATGTTCAATAATAATATTAATATTATGGGTAAATTACAACCAACCCCTGAGGTATGGTCAAATTACAAAAACCCCCTCTTGTTTAGATAATTACAACCACCCCTCAACTCCTCAAATTTAGTGGAATCTTCGAGATTATATGGAATATTGTCACTTTTGTACCCGTTTTATCCCATTTGAACTTTACATTTTGAAGCAAGATGATCATAATATGTGTTTTTTTGCTTGTATATATCAGATTGTGGTGCATCAGAAACTGTATTTTTTTCTCAAAACGAGTGCAAACTAGAGCACATTCCACAAAATCTAGATGATCATGTTGAATTTGACACCATAAGGGTGGAGGTGTAAGAAAAAATCATAGTTGAGGGGGTAGATGTAATTATCCAAACAAGAGAGATTTTTTTGTAAATTGACCATACATCAGAGAGTGTTTGTAGTTTACCCTAATATTATTAATAAGTATCATTCATATCAGGCATCTCAATATTCTTGCTTTCACAAAATGATATAACCTCACTTACAAAAGCATCCCATCCATTATCTCTCAATTTTTAAGGAGTTGCTTTGTCGTTGAGACTAGATTCATAACATTTAATATATGTTGAGATTTTTGCTGCAAAGCTTGGCAAATAACAGTAATTCCCATCACTTCTTTAATCAAAATCAGAATAAAGACAAACTGAAAAGATGGCATGGTAGTATAAGCAGAATCGACATCACCACGTTGAGAAAAATTGGAGCCATCAACTATAATACTTTTGAAGCACAGTACCTGTAGCATTAAACATTTTTAATAAACTACATCTTGAAGAAAAATGAGAACCCCATTGAGTATTACCTTCCCGTTGTAAAGTACCAATCTGGTTAGCTCCTTTACTAGTCTCAAGCTCACTAATCGATACCAAATGAGAAATTCCAGCTTGTTGTGCATTAATTAACTCACCATTTCGCCTAGTAAAAACACCAACAATATTAACAATAGAATCTAATTTCGTGAAAAATTGATGCACATGAATCACTTCCCAGGATGCTGTATAGAGCCAATTGAAGTCGATGAGCGAAAAAATGCATAATATGCATATGGACAATCCTTAAAAAATAATGCTTGCAATCCACTCCATTCACCACGCATGTTGCTTCCTCCATCATAACCTTGACCTCGAAGATTGTCAACACTAAATGCATGATGAGAAAGAATAGTAGATAACTCACACTTAAGAGTCAATGTAGTAGTGTCTTTCACACTTACAATATCAAAAAAACATTCTTGAAGAACACCACCTTTGTCTACAAACCTCAAAACAAGAGCCATTTGCTCATTTTTTGATTCATTTCGTGCTTCATCAACTAGAATGCACAATTTTGAATCACCAATATCTTCACGAATTTTGGTTCGCACTTTTGTAGCAATGATATGCAATATGTCCTTTTGAATCTTTCCAGAGGTGTATTTGGCATTATGTGGAGCTTTCTCCAAAACCGTTTCAGATACTTTATCATTATAACTTGCCAAAAGATTCACCATTTCAATAAAATTAAAATAAATAGAGCTCGTGTGATTTTAGGCGAGCTCCATAAAATGAGCTCACGTGGTTTGACACGAGCACAACCCCCTGTTTGCCTAATAACACACGAGCTCCATTGTTTTTAAAATTTTTCAAGCAAAACATACGTATTTTCAAATTAAAAAAAAAAGAAAGAAAAAAGAAAAAAAAACATACCTTCATCTTCTCGCGTGGTTCTACATGAGTAACTCCACTGTACTCGTGTAGAATCACGCGTGTACTACTACATGCTTGGTTTAAAAAAAAAAATCAATAATCGTAATCTACGTAACGAAACAATAAAAAAAATGTAGAAATTACCTCCGATCTGTTGTCATCTCGGTCGGGATCTAAAATCGAACTCCAAAAGATTGAGAGTTTGTGATAATATTTACCTTTTAATTTTTAAAGAATGGTAAAAAAAAAAAGTGACTGCACAAATTATTTTAGTTTTCTATTTAAGTTCACTTTCCAAAATATTTACAAACACCATCGAACGTTTTTTAAATAAACACTTAATATTCAATTAACTTACCATCACTAACTTTTAATGTTAAATGATTTTTTTTTTCTCAAACACCACCTTCATATTTATGCATTAGTAGCTCTTAGAGCAACTCCAATGCAAAACATCAAAATTGAAATATCAAATATTTATTTGATAATTAAGATAATATTTTAATATTCATTTACAATTTATTTACTACAACCATGGTTATCAAAATTAATAATCAATTAGTAGTTTTATTTATAATTGTCACGTGTCATTTTGTGATTGGAGGTTTAGGTGGTTATTGTTTTGATAACTCAATTTCCAAGATGTATTTTTACTTATGAAGATGTAGATTATCAAAATACTTACCCATTTTGATACTCCCATTGGAGTAGAAATTTTTAATTTTGGGATATCAAAAAGATAGTTTATGGGTTTGATAATCCATTTGATACTCCCATTGGAGGTGCTCTTAAATGTGAATTATGGGTGAAATGCCGAATAACAAGGAAAAGGAAGAAAAGGTTGAATCCGCCCAAAGTAACTAGAGATGTAAAAACCCAAAATCAGTGCAAAAAGGAAAAGCTATGACTACTTTACCAATACATACGACTTCACCTGTAAATCATTCCTCAGCTTTGGGCCCACATTTGCCATTCTTCCTTCATAGGTGTCACTCTCATGTTTTGCATGGCTGCTGCACACACCGCCTTCCTTCAATGCTTCTATATATTATAATTTCCAACCCAAACACACATCACTGTGTGTATTTCACAAATGGGTTTTCCTGGTTTTCCTTTTCGTTTGATTTTCTTGGTGCTGCTTGTGGCGGCGGCGGCGACGCTGCCTTCTGAAGCTAGAGGTGGAAGGCGGCGATACCCATGGGATCCAATTATCCGGTGGCCGTCGGACCACCCTCAGAAGGAGGAGGACGACGGTACCAGATGGGCGGTGCTGGTGGCCGGTTCTAATGGATTTGGGAATTATAGACATCAGGTTAAGTTTTTTTTAATTTTAATTTTAATTTTTAAAATTTTAATTTTTAGTAATTATTTTGTTTAATTGGAAGTGTATGGTGTTATTAAGAGTTAAATTCTTGATAAAAATAGAAGTCTGTTTGAGCTTAATTATACTTACTTAAATTGGTGTTGTGCACTGGTGATAGTGATACATCATACAACTATAAGTGATTAGGAACAAATAGCTAATTTTAATTTATTGATTTTGTCGGAACTTAATTTGCTTTATTGTAATATGAACTCAATTCATATGAAATGTTCTTTGAATTTTGGACTAACATATCGTGTCTCCGGTTGGTAAGAAAAATCAGTAACCAGATTGAAGTATTTTATTATGTTTCAATATCACATTCATCTTTTATACGGAAATATTTTCTCATCTGATATGATTTCCCGACTTAATATCGTGTATATATATGAATATATAGGCTGATGTTTGTCACGCGTACCAAATACTCAAAAAGGGAGGCGTGAAAGACGAGAACATTGTCGTTTTCATGTACGACGACATCGCAATGAACGATTTAAATCCAAGGAAAGGAGTTTTAATCAACCATCCTAACGGTGAAGATGTCTACGCAGGTGTTCCAAAGGTAGCATACATATGTAACGCAATTCGTTAGTATCGTCTTAATTTTGGGAATTTATGTTAGTGATGACGTCGCGTTGATCGTTTGTTCACATGATGTACGTTAATTAAAAGGACTACACTGGAGAGCAAGTTACTGCAGAGAACTTCTATGCAGTGATATTAGGTGACAAAAGCGCTTTAAAAGGCGGAAGCGGAAAAGTTGTTGATAGCAAGCCAGGCGACCGGATATTTATTTATTATTCCGATCATGGCGGCCCTGGAGTTCTTGGTGAGTTAATCAACACTTTTTCGTGCCAATTGTTTTTTTTTTTTTTTTTTTATTAAATTTTAATCTATTATATCTTCATAAGCTTATTTTGTGTAAAAAAAGGATATATAATAAAATAATTTAGAGACGTAGAGTTGAACGGTTCATTTTTTGATTCCAGGAATGCCAAACATGCCTTACCTGTACGGCAAAGACTTCATAGATGTTCTGAAAAAGAAGCACACATCTGGCACCTACAAAGAGATGGTACCTGGTTTTTCGATTAAACCCATTAATTTTATTTTTTTTCAAATTAACTTGTGTGTGTATAGAAATATGCATATCAGTAAAACCTCGATAAATTAATAACCTCGATTAAATAATAGTTTCTCCAAGTCCCAACTCGGTGAAAACGTGTTATTAACTCGATAATTTAATAATTCTCTAAATTAATATAGAATTTCCCTAGTCCCAACATTATTAATTTATAGAGGTTTAACTGTATATAAATTGTGTATATAAATTGTGGTGTGTTGTGTAGGTTATATATATAGAAGCGTGTGAGAGTGGAAGTGTGTTCGAAGGTTTGATGCCGGATAATCTGAACATATACGTGACGACAGCATCAAATGCGGAAGAAAGTAGCTGGGGTACGTATTGCCCCGGAATGGATCCTCCGCCACCCCCAGAGTACATTACTTGTTTAGGTGATTTATATAGCATCGCTTGGATGGAGGATAGGTATCTATTTTTTTTTTTATTTAAATTATTATAATTATATAAAATATATCTTTAATTAGTTTTCATCATGGTTCGTTGTGGTATTATATGTTTATTTTTCTGTATTTTGATGTGCAGTGAGACTCATAACCTCAAGAGAGAGACTATAGAGCAGCAATATGATCAGGTACAGAACCAAATTAAAAATCGTTTTTTGTTCAATGAGTATATAACAAAATTGAAATTTGTTGTAAGTTGCGTTTTAATTTATTTAGGTGAAGGAACGAACTTCGAACTATAATACATACAATGCTGGATCTCATGTAATGGAGTACGGAAACACGAGTTTCAAATGGGAGAAGCTCTATTTGTACCAAGGGTTTGATCCCGCAACGGAGAATCTTCCTCCAAACGGAATCGAAGTCAAAGAACGCATGGACGTGGTCAACCAGAGGGATGCAGATGTTCTTTTTCTATGGGAAAGGGTGAGTCCGTATTTATATTTTTTTTCTTCATATCATTTAAAAATTATCCGATATGATTTATAATTTGGCCAACTGAATATTGTGTAATAGTACAAAAAAATGGAGGATGGCACGAAAGCGAAAGCAGAATTTTTGAAGGTGATAACAGAGACGATGCTGCACAGAGAACATTTAGATGGGAGTGTTGATATTATTGGTCTAGCTTTATTTGGTCCGGATAAGGGTCCGTCTATTCTTAAAACCGTAAGAAGACGAGGTTTGCCCCTTGCCGATGACTGGGATTGTTTGAAGTCAACTGTAAGATTTTTTTTTTTTTGTGGGTGATAAAATTGCATCTTTATGCTAATTTTGCTTTTAAAAAATGTAATTGACGTGCGTATGTATAAACTAAACAGGTTCGGTTATTTGAGGCGCATTGTGGTTCGTTGACGCAGTATGGAATGAAGCACATGAGGGCGTTTGCAAATATATGCAATTCGGGGGTCCCGCTATCCCGTATCGAGGAAGCTTGTATGGCTGCATGTGGTGGCCGTGACATTGCAAAATGGAGTCCTTTAAATAGAGGTTACAGTGCCTAAATAATACTGTTATTTTGATTGTGCGCTGTGTGTGTGTGTTGTACTAATTTACGGTGTAAACAGGGAAGACGGATTGTACAAGTAAAATCAATCTATATTTTTAATGTTGTTTGATTTATAATTGTGTGGTTCTACTTATTTCGGGATGTTATAGATGTGTTCGCAGTCGGCGAGGTTACGTGGGATGATGTGAAGGCGTAAAAATATGCAGTGGTGAGTAGATTTCTGGTGTGATATCAATATAATAAAGAAGAATGCATTTGTGAGTGCTAATGAAATCAAAAAATTGAAAGGGGCACCAATATTTCAAGGATATGTAAAGATTCGACGACGATCTTCTTGACATATGAGCATTCTCAAAAACAGAGAACAACGGAGCATAAATGGTTTTGAAACTCTTTGGAAAGGCTCGAATAAATAAAAACCATAAATAACGACCACTCGAAAATGCTTTTAGGAAATTCTGGATTAGTGGGTTGTAAGAGCATAATCCACCGGTTTCAGTATTTTCTGACCATATTTCCTTTTGTGGTGAAAAAACATGTCCATTTCTCAGTGTAGCACACAATTTTGTTTTGTTCACCAGTTTTGGTCGAAAAATGGGGTTTTTGGTTCCCATGCATTTTTCATCGAATTTACAGAATAATAAGATAATAATACCTCACTATTTCGTCATTTATAAGAAATGAGTTTTAGTTTGGTCTCCTATGTCATTACACTATAAATGTCAAAAAATAAAAAAAATAAAAAAAAAATCAATTTAATATCATAATTTAGTATCTTTTATTTCCATAATTTTAGTATATTTTCAAAATATTTAATATATTTTATTAGGGGCAATTTGTTAAACACCCTGAGCGCTAAATTGTCTTCCAAATCAGGACATACCAACTTTTGTAATTTGCTAAAAGTCTTGTGTTCTTTAGACTCCCACACTCCATCAAACCCCGTTCAATCCCGTTGCATTCCGTTAAATCTGTTCAAACCCTACTCCCCGCCGCTGTCATGGTTGAAAAGTTCTGCCACACAATGGCGCACACACACAATCACACACCTACATACGCACATGCGCAACCACACACACGCACACATATACGCAACCACGCACACGCACACACATACGATTTTGGTTACACTCATTCATCTCAGCTATAATCTAATAATCATGGAAATCTAACCAAAAAAGTTAAGAATTGTTTGGTGATGCTGATGGTGGTGGTAATGTTGGTGGTGAACGCACCAGAGATTTAATTTTTTTTCTTCAGCTTATTTAACTAAGTTGTGTAACTAAGCTATGCAAATAAGCTGTCTAAGTTGTATAACTAAGTTGTATGATTAAGTTGTCTGTGTAAGTTATGTATGTGTTGTCAACTTAAATTATTATGCTATACACAAACAATAATTCATAAATTATTGCATAAAAATGTGGCCAAAATAAATTATTTCATTGATAACTTCGAAGATCACATGGGCCTCCGTAAAAACTTGTTTGGCCAATATTAATAAATATATTTGTCTTTTGAAAATTGATTGATTAATTAACACTAGTATATTTTACTATAAATATTTTTACAAGTTGTTAATCACATGAAATTTTATATGCTAATTATAAGACGGTGTTAATTACACCAAATTCTATTTTCACTTCTATTTGTGATAGGAGAAATAGTGTTTGGTGGAAAAAAAGGTTAAATAGTGAAAGAGTGGGAGATACAAATTTCTTCACCAAAATATTTGGTGTAGGATTTAAATAAGGTAATACATGGTTTGACCATGATAGGAGATTATAACTAAACCACCATAATTTTAGGTGTAATGGTGGTTTAGGGGTTTTCGTTGGAAGGTAAAAACACTTAAATTAGGTGTAAAGTATAGGATATAGAGGAGGGTGAAAGATGCCCTAAGGTCCACCCTCTTTTAATGCCGAGTCGGAGTCGGGCCGAGCCGACTAATTGTTTGGGTTCTTGTATAGTCTTCACCTCAAAAAGTTTGGGTAACCCAATGATTTCATCTTTACGGCTCCAAGTACTTGTGCTATACAAACTGAATTTGAACAATTAAGAGTTAATTGCACAAAAACGGGAAAATTACATATTTCGTGCTCATACTTTACACACTTTTTCAAAACTGTCTATAAACATTTTGGAGTTATAATAGTAGTCCTTAATCATGCCATTTATTGACAGAATTGTCCGCCGTTAATTTTTAAAGTTACGTTGGATGGAAAATGGCATGTGCCTCTCACATGCCTTCAATTTACAACACTACATGAAAATGGACTTTCAACAACACGCATTGCGTACTGTTAAAACATATTTTTATAATTATTATTTTTAATTAAAATTTAATATAAAATTGAAATCACGTAAATTCCAAAAAAATCAACTGGTTTCGAAAATATTGTTTAAAAAATCAAAATATAGTTTAAAAATTTAAAATATTGTTCCAAAATCGGCATTTTTGGAACTCAATTAAAATATATCGTTTCAAACCAAAATAAAAAACCAGATAGATTGGGGAATTAGAAATCTCCATTCCAATTTTCAGCTCTAGTCAATTCCAAAAATCCCAATTGTGAGACAATATGTCGAGTTTTAAATCATTCAATATGGATGAAAATTGGAAATGAGTTTTCTTATGCTGCCTAGTTTGATCGAATTTTTATTTTATTTTAAAATAATATTTTCATTCAATTTCCAAAAATTCCGATTTTAAAACACAATATTATTTTTTTAGACAATATTATGATTTTTTAAACAATATTTCTGAATTTATTTTGAATTTTTTTTTCGAGTTTTAGATTATTAAATAAGGGTGAAAATTGGAACGGAGTTTTCTTACTCCGCCTATTACGATCAGATTTTTATTTTATTTAAAAAAATAATTTTCATTTGGATTCAAGAAATTCCGGTTTTAAAATATTATATTAATATTTTAGACAATACTTCTAAAAATATTTTGAAACAATCTATCGAGTTTTACATTATTAAATTAGGGTGAAGATTGAAATGGAGGTTTCTTATCCCGCCTATTCGGATCGAATTTTTATTTTATTTTGAAACAATGTTTTCATTTGAATTCCGAAAATCTTGATTTTGAAAGCAATATTTCATTTTTGTAAAACAATGTTTCAATTGTTTAAAGAATATTTCTCAAAATATTTTAAAACACTATATATATCAATTTTGTTTTTTTGGAATTTATATAATTTCGAATTTCAATCAAGTTTTAATTATGAAAAGTCTGTTTTAATTAACAAGACGCAATGCGTTTTGTTAAAAGTTCATTTTCATGTAGTGTTGTAAATTGAAGGCATGTGAGAGGCACATGCCATTTTCCATCCAACTTAACTGCAAAAGTTAACGGCGGACCAATTCTGTCAAAAAATGGCATGATTAAGGACTACTATTATAACTCCAAAATGTTTAGAGACAATTTTGGAAAAAGTGGATAAAAATATGAGGACGAAAAATGCAATTTTTCCCACAAAAACCCTTATGTGATCTCGGATTACCAAAAAAATTCTCATGTTAAAACATTTAAGAAGAAACACATTGAGTTCTATTTTACATAGCACACCACCCTTTACTTCAAAATTGTACTCTTGATTCCGTACCGAATTGATGCGATCTCTTGTGTATCATAAGAATTCTTTACGAAACGTAAGAAAACTTTTCTTTATTATTTCCCTTCATAATAAAACCCTAGCACAATACGACTATTTAAAGAGAATAAAACCCTAGAATCCTAATCTAACTAGGAAACATAATTACCTATACTAATTAAATACTTAATATATATCCTAAACCTTAACACACGACATTATATATATTATAAATATACTAATCTAATTAATTAATAATAAAATACTAACTAACTAACATTTAAACGATATATTAAATAATATATCGTATCACGAATATGTAGATAATAGTTATGAATTCATTTTTTTTATGGAGAAGGAGGTGGTGGTGGGGGGAATATTTTGGTGGTTAAAGGTAGGAATATTTTGAAAAAACTAGGCATTGAAATTAAAATTCTAAGAATTTCACTTTGGGCCTTCTCAAAATTTTGGAGTGAATTTGTAGATTTTGAAATTATGATATAAATAGTATTTGAGTTTTTCATGTTAAAACGGAATCCAAAGGCGCGCACAATCCACGTCTGCAACACATTTTCAGCTCCTAGGGTTCTTATTGGTATATGGTGTTTATAGATGGTTCTTGCTAATTGTTTTAACATGAAGACATTTTTTTGATAATTTAAAATTGCACGTGAGTGTCGTGATCCTTGCAAGAAACCCGAATAAATAATGAAATCTAGATTTCATTATTCCAATACCAAAACACAATAGTTCATATTAAATACAACATTTTTAAATGAATTTTCCCAACCAATAGTTGGACTCCAAAAAAAGTTGGTCCTCGGATTAAGTTCTTTATCTGGCAACTGTCTCATAATAGCATTCCTACAAAAGACTTTTTACTTAAACGTAAATGTGTGTCGTCTAATACCTGCCCTATGTGTAATTTGCAACCCGAAACATGCACACATTTATTTCATAAGTGTACTGCATTGTATAGTATTATAAAAAGGATTCCCTCACCTCAATCTAACTTGGAGGTAAACTTCTGTAGTTTTCTACACAGTCTCCGTAATAATCCTTTGTTTCAAGCTCAAATTGCTAATGTGTATTGGCTCATTTGGAAAGCCCGTAATAATTTTGTGTTTAAACAAAAAGATATTCAACCCTTACATCTGTGGACTCTAGCCAAACAGATGATATCCACACCATCCCGCAATATTTCGGTTCCTATCCAAACCCCCCTTTCTTGGAAACCCCCTCCATGGGAGTGGTTTAAACTTAATATTGATGGAGCATCCAAACATAATCCCGGTTCTGCCGGAATCGGGGGTATTATCAGAGATAGTAATGGCATATTTATTAATGCTTTTTCTAAGAATATAGGCATTGTTTCTAATAATAAAGCTGAATGTTG